CCTTTCCGCTTCCCGTTCGCGATGGCTTCCGAGACGACGAGATCGGCTCCCGGACCGGTGGCTCGACGGGTCGCCGGGGGGGCCAGCTCCTCCGTGAACAGGTGGGTGTACGTGGCCTTGTACACGTCTCCGTGCACGGAATGGGGCCTTTCGTCGCCCTCGCGCCACACGTCCCGTCGGTCCATGTTCACCGAACACGGCCTGGAACGAGAGGCCTTCCGACTCTCGTATTCCGGCAGGTAGACGATGTGTCCACCCGTGGAGTAGAACGTCATGATGGAGGACGGTTCGTCCTGGCTCACAAAATTCGTGACGCGGGTCTTTTCCAAGTCCGGGGATTCCACGGCGCCGTGGGCCGTGCGTACGAGTTCCGAGCCCATCCTCTCGTCGCTGTAGAGGAAGGCCTGGAATTCGTCTTCTTTCCGGTTCAAGGAGCCGGGAACGCTCTTGGAGAGAGACCAGTTGTCGTCTCGAAGAATGCGCTCCGCGTCCGGCGTCTTGCTCCGGCCGTGCAAGGCATTCGAGACGGACCGTTTCAAGCGTCTCAGGCTATTGAAGTTCTGCGGTTCGCCGCCTTTTTTCTTCTTTCTCTTTGTCCTTTCCCCGCGGTGCAGTTCGTCGCCGCTCTCCTGGCTGCTCCCCTCCAAGGCCCTCGGAAGAGAGAAACTGGGGAACATGAAGTTCCTCTTGATCAATTTCGGCGGCGTGGACGGACCCCGCGCGGGCAGGGGCGGGGGCGACGGCCTGGCGGGATGGGAGGACGGGGACGTCCCGTTGCTCCCCATGCTCTCGTCCAGGTCCTGTTCCGGCGTCCAGTGGTGGTTCGCCTTGCCGGCCGACGGGAGCGGGGACGACACGGCGACGGGGCCGCTGCTCTTCGTCTTGTCGGGGTAGGGACTCGCGTCGCCGGAAATCCCGGAATCCGCCGATTTCTCCAAATTCCGCCGGTGGAGCGGCGGCGGCATCGGGCGCGACAGGCCGTGGACCGGTGAGTCTTCCTCGCTCGACGGAGACGGGGCATGGAGCTGGGAATCCGTCCCGTCGATGGGTTTCCCCCTGGCCCTGTCGAGGCTCAGGGCCTTCCACGCTGCACTCGGCGAGAAATGAGGGATCTCGGGCTGTTTGCGGGGCAGCGTGGGTCGAAGCTTCACCTGGATGTCGTCTTCGCTGGAGTCGGTCGTCGTCGCCGTGCTTCGACTCGCGTCCTTCGTCGCCCGGCTCGGGTTCTTCTCGGGGCTCTGGAGGGATTGCTTCTGCGAGTGGAGCTTCGAGGCGAACTGATCCACCACCTCCGACAACTTCCGGTCGCTCATACGATGTCGAGCGTCGAGTTCGTCGAAGTCGATGGCGTTCAGGTTCCCGAGGGCGCTCTTGCTGCGGCGGCGATCCTGGATCCTCTGTCGCCGTCCGCCCACTCGGTCCTGCAGCTTTTTCGCGGATTCCCCGTCGTGGCTGCCGGGTTTCGCGACTTCGGGCGCGGTCGTGCGACTGCCGCTGCCGCGGCTGCTCCTCACGTCCTCCCATTCCCCGACCCTTTCCCGACTCCTTCGCGTGTATTCGACCGTCTCGCCCCGGATCTTGAGTTCGCCCGGCTCGGTCAGGGCGACGTTCACCGCCTGGAGGGGCGAGTCGTCCGGTGACATCCCGAAGTAGAATTTCTTCACCGGTTCCTTGGAGGAAGCGGCGGATCTGGGCCGGGATTCGCTGCGCGACTTTTCGACCTGGAGATGCGTCAGGCTTCGACTGCGACTGCTGGCTGCACTCGTCGCGTCCTCGCGGGATCGCTCCCTCGATCGCTCCCTCGACCGATCCCTTTCCGTACTCTTCGGTTTCGCGAGTCCCGAGGACGTCTTGCTCTTGCTCGAACTTCGACTCCGGTGACTTTCGGCCGCTTCCGGTCTGGGGACGTAGAACGGGTGGTCCACGCTCAGGGAGTTGTCGAAGGCGGCGATCCACTTCTGGGAGCTGGCATTCAGGCAGTCCATGCTCTTCGCCTTGTGCTTGCTCGTCACCAGCGGTCCGAGGATGCGGTCCTCCGACGCCGACCTTCGTCCGCCGTTGCTCGCGCGGTGGACGGATAATTCCTCTTCGTAATGTTTCATGGGTTTCCTCATCTCGGACTTGGGTCGGAAGAGTCTCAGGCGACGGTATCGTTTCTCGCTGCTCTCCGACGACGGAGACTTCGGACGATAGTGCGGGCGATGGACGACGTCGCCGTTGCGGAAGACGTCACCGTTGCGGTAGACTTCCCTGCTCTCCTCCCTGGGATCGGGAGGAGACGGAGCCTTGTATTTCTTCTTGGTTCGGGCTCGAGCCTTGGTCGGACCCTCGTCCAAGATCACGGCCGAGGACGCGTGGCCGTTCGGCAGGTAGGAAACGGGCTCCCTCAAGTCCGGCTCGCTGCCGAATTTCTTGTAGCTCTCCTTCTCGATCCGTCGGCCCATCTTCCGTCTGTGGTCGTCGCCGTTGGCCATTCTCCTCTGCTGCTCCTCCAGGATCAGGGCTTCTCGACGTCGACCCGTGATGGTCCCGCCCTTTTTCAGCAGTTCGCCCAACTCCGTGGGTCTCAGCAGTTGCCGAGGGGGGCCGTGGACTTCCGGAAGGACTTTGAACTGGGGCGAGAGTCCGTATCGAGGACGAGAAGGGTGGTCCTTGTGATCTCGACGCCTCTCGTCCGTGTCGATCGAACGGAAGGCCTGCTGGGAATGAGGACGAATTCGGGCTTGATGATACCTGGCATCTCCCAGAGACCTTGGCGCCTGCGACAGGTGCACCGATTGCGCCGATGAGCTGTTCCCCATCTCTCACCACCTGCGAAACCGCCGAAAACAAAAAAGAAAATCAGACCTGATCCCAAATCCGGTAGACGCACGTGCACTTCGCATCTGGAGAGAAAAATCCTTCAACTCGCTCTGATTCCTTCGCCACGCCTGGTTGAGCAAAAAACGAACGGCACGACAACCCTGGCATACCGCGGGAAAACAATGTGCCCCCCATACCTACGACGAGACCTTGTTTTAAAAGCATGTGTATCGCACACGGCGCTTTCACCCGCTCGCGACGCGGGAAGAAAGGCGCATCGTCGGAACGACAGAGGAACAGCGTCGAAATGGGAGCAGAGTTCAGGGGAGAAACCTCAGAATATGTTTCATTTCCCTTTCTCCTCGCAATTGTCTCCGACAGAGAAAACAAAAGAACGGCGGAACGAAAGCAGGCAACTCTCTCTCCTCGGGCAACCGACGCGACTCACCCCCGCCTCCCCCGTCCCTGGCGAAGCTAATTAATCGGCGCAAATAACGAGGACAATCGGAGCGCGTCGTTCCGTCTGCGTTCGACCGTGATGATTCCGACGGACACCCCCGGAGGGACTCGTAACGTAATTCTCACTTTCCATTTCCTGCAAAGCGATACGGTACGCACGCACCTTTGCCCTCTCTCGAGCTTTTCGATCTTAATCCTAATTCGGCGTTTCGCAAGTGCAATTCTCTCCATCCATCCTATCGCCGTTTGCGTAAGAATATTCCCATGCATTAATTTCGGGAAGCACTATTAATGAGGGCTTCCCACAGGCTCGAATTAGATCTCGCGTGATGCCAAAAGGTGATAACGCGCACAAACGCAACGAAGATTTGGCAACGTCACTTTGCAAGCTTCCCCCCCCCCCTTCCCACCCCCCAATACGCAAAAGGATTGTGTCATTGAACTGCATGAAACTATTTTTCCTTCAGGCCGGCCACTCCGACAGGGGCTCTCACGTGAGAGTGGAGTCCCTCTCACGTGAGCCTGTCAGTCCGAAGTCTTTCGAAGCAGACAGGCATGGAAAGTCGTGTTCACCCCTCACAATGCCCATCAAGATAGATATGGAAATGACGACATTGAAAAAGGCAAGCAACGGGCAAACGATTTCTCCCCCTGTCAGACGCGCACGGAGACCGCACGGAGACTGCACGGATCCCCCTCGCAGGCGAGCACGCAAGGCACTTTCATGGTAGGCGTAATTAAAGGCAATTTCCCCCCTGACAAGGGAGAACCATGATGGATAGATTTCTTTAAAAAAATCTCGGCATAACCCCGACGCCTCGCGTCGTCGCCGGGGTCGATCCCCGTGATACTTCTGGGCGAAAAGAATCCGAACCGGTTCCCCGTCTTCGCGGCCCCCAGGCACGGAACGACAGAAATAATCGATCCGAGAAAACGTTTCCGTATTCGCAGTCCGGGCGCGCGTGGAAGTGGGTGGATGTAGGTCGACCTAGAGCTCGCGGCGGACGACTCTCCCTATATATGGATATGAGACTCGCTGGCACACATACCGACGAGATACCACCCATTCTTTTTCATTTTTTTTTTTGACCCTTCATTTCACTCCGTCGATGTAACCATTCGCAGCCTCGGGCATTAAATTCTGTCTAGACGCTTAAATGCCAACGTCGTTACTTTCGATCCGAGCTCAAAGGGAAACACGGAGAAAAAAAAAGAAGTCGCTCCGAATGCAAAAAAATCCGGCTTCATCGCTCAGAGAAACGACGAGAAACGATGAGAAACGATGAGAAATGAATGGACGGCATGAAAAACGAGTCGCCCCATTCAACGAGGATGAATGACCGCTTCCAAGCTGTTCACCTCGATTCCGCGATTGGCCTACAGAAGAGTGTGGAATCGGGAGCAAAAAAAAAAAACCTCGGACCGGTATGATGTAATCGGTGGGCGATTTCGTGGAGCCGGGCATGCGAGGGGTAGGAGCCGTTACCTCTTTGTTTTCGAACAATGGCTTCCGCTTTACACAGGTATCTGTAAAAAGGAAATTGTTACATCATGGAAGGCGAGAACCATCTTCTCTAGGAAAAAAAAAATATTTTCCAGTTTCCGCTAACTGGTCCCCCATGAATCAGGGAGATTCGATGACCGAACCGAAACACTCGTCCGGAATACGTCCGGAATACGTCCGGAATACGTCCGGAATACGTCCGGAATTCGTCCGAATACGTCCGGAATACGTCCGGAATTCGTCCGGAATACGTCCGGAATTCGTCCGGAATACGTCCGGAATTCGTCCGAATACGTCCGGAATTCGTCCGGAATACGTCCGGAATTCGTCCGGAATACGTCCGGAATTCGTCCGGAATACGTCCGGAATTCGTCCGGAATTCGTCCGGAATCGACTCGATCGAGAGATCGCGGTGGAGTCGTCTCTTGTTCCGTGTGATCGAGTTTGCACTCACGCGGATTCCCTATTATGCAAATCCCAGTCGACCATAGCAGCAGCTGGCACCGGCAATCATAAGCTCTTCCTAATGACGCAAAATACCATATCATTTCTTTGAATGGAGAGGGTGCATGAGGAATTCCGGTCGAGTCATCGCCGCTTCAATCCTGCGCGGGATGACGCGGACTCTTCCCAGGAATTCCGCAGCCATTCACTTTCTCGCTTTGAATCGCGGGAAACGGCGGTGGTCGTCGACGACGACACGAGGTCGCCCCTCGAAAAAGGTGGGAGAGGGGAACGAACCGCCCGGTTCCGCATTTTTCTCCCTTTTCTCCTGTCGACGCGGAAACCGGCCCGAGTGCGTTCCGTTCGGGAAAAGAAAGGGGATCCCGCTATCCCCACCGCCCACCCGATCTTCCTTTTCCTCTTCCCTATCGGCTCACCCGGGCGACTTCGGGCTCGGAACCTGTTTCTTCCTGAACCAGACCAACCCCTCAACAAAAAAAAAAAAAAAACAAACAACCACATCGATTTATCTTTAACAGTTGCAGTGAATGAAGTTACGGGAGTTTCATAAGAGACAACACAAAAACGAATCATCTCGACGAACGGGAGATATAAAAGTCCGATCGCATCCGAAAGTCGAAAACGTTTGAAAATTCCGATTTGAAATGCAAATCTCGACATTTAAAAGGCGAGGATTTCCTGCGCAGGTCGCTCGGGCATTCGCACGGGGGGGCAGCGAACCGGACCGCCGTGACGACCGCCGAGAATCACGATGGGAGCCCGAGATCACGTGACGCCCCGTGGGGTCACGTGGGGTCACGGAGGTGGAGGTCGCGAGAGAGCAGGCCATCCCCGGACATCTCCGGATGCCTCCGGAACGCATCCGGTGTGCCGAGGATCTGTGTCACTTTCCCCTAAACGCGTTTTCGTGTCCCTCATCGTCACACTTTCCCTCCCTCACGTGTCTTGGGCATCGGGTTAGCTCCCCCGCGGCCTGACCATCTCACCGTAGAGGAACAGTGTCTTCTTTTTTTCCGCGTTATGGTAATAAAAATTCTCATCCTTAGCCTGGTTAGCCAAGCAGAATGCTTTTGGCCCGGTTTCACCTTGCATGCGACTATGGGAAGCTTTCGAACGCGCTCCTCTCTCTTTCTATCGGGCACACCGGTGAAATTTTTGTTGGCAAGGTCCATTCGGGTCACGCTTTATCGTCGAGAGAACCAAAATAAATCAATCTCTATGGCCCGCGGTCGTTACGATCCGGGTGTTTTTGGCCCTCGTGGTATGAGCCTTTTGGCCCTCGTCATCGAGGAGTTCACGCATCACTGGCTAGATGATTTAAACTACTATTGTTTGCGAAAAAAAGTCGGATATGAATAATGGAAAGTAATAAAACATTCATACATAAATTCATGACGCGTATAATAGGTTTCGTTTCGAGACCTCGACAGATGGATTAATACATTGAAAATGACCATATGCATGATTTTTTGTTTCTTTTCCACTCGGAGGCATAGGAACCATTAGCGAGGAGAGACAAGAGAATCCGGACTATGTTATTTATCCATGCCATCTCGTGAGATAATGCCCATTGTATCCACCGTGACACGGTAAGGTGTTTTTTTTTTTCTCATAACGGAAAACAGGCACCGTCGACCCAGAAACCTAACGGGGTAACATTCCCGAAGTATAGGTATTATAAAACAGGAAGTCCAGGTTCCTTATTATTTCCCTGTCTCCCACACTGGACACGAACCGTGCGTGTCGGTGTCACCCGTCGAGGCCCGTTTGCCCCCTCTCCCCCCCCCCCCCCCCTCGGCCCCCCCCCCCCCCTCGCCTGTCTGGGTGCAATCCATCCGGACCCTGGCGTTGCTAACCAGGCGCCGAAAGGGAGTGTAAATGAATGGCGGGGATGAGATGAGATGAGCCTGGCCTCATCATCCATCATACTTCCCCGTGACCCTTTCCCCTCTTCCTCTGTCTTCTGCCTTCTCTCCTTTAATCGCCATTTTTCTGCTTCTGCAACCCACTGCCCCACTTGTCTTTCTTTTTTTTTTTGCGCCATCTGACCCCTGAGCTGCCATTCTCCTCAATCTCGTCTAATCGTCCACGAATCCTCCATCCGCTCCCCTTCGAGAAAATGATGATGGAAACGCTTCGCTCTGCCTCGACGAGTCGAGAAGAGGCCCGCGCGGACTCACGTGTGACGTCGGTGCGTGTCGTCGGGGTGTGTCGAAAGTGTCGTGAAGATGCACACCACCCTCTGCGATCACTGGTCGGTCTGGCAATCGCGCCGAGGAAAATATACTGGTCGGAGGAGACGGAAAATTGGGTAAAATGGTGGGAAAACCACGGACGATGTCCGTCCTGAGAAGTGCAGACGTACGAGGAGAAAAAAAAAAACTTTTTTTCGCTTAATATCTTTTTACCGATACCCCTCAAGGGCTGGCACGTTCGCCGCACAAAGGAGGTGGATCATGTCGAGATCGTCGACGTGAAAGTCCGTTTTTTCCCCCCTTTTATGCCTTCCGCATCGGTACAATCCAACGGAGATGGTGAGAGAGAAAAAATGGGATCGCAAACATGCCACATCATCTCCGTACATCGTGTTTTCTTTGCTCCGTTCGTGCCCGTCCGCGCTTATTTATGGGGCTCTAATCCCTGGATTTACCATCGTATCAAAGATATGAAGTCTCTGAATGAAAGTCCTCGAATGAATGAAGTCTTTATGTGCCGTTGCCCCGAAGAAAAAGAGAGAAAATGCCCAGGGAAGAGAAAGTTACCCTGAAAATCGGTCTCGCTTCCGTGTTTCACTGCGGTCGAAGGAAAGTGCAGAAAAAAAAAACTAAAACACCAGGAAGAAATAGAAATATTGAGGTCTTAACAAAGTCGTGACGCGCGCCTGTAGCATTCTTCACGCCAAGAATGTACCATTCCAAAAAGAACGCATCATTCATCCCCTACATGGATTCCCCGGCGTTTCCACCCTCGATTCCACACCCCAACCTTCGATTCCACACCCCAACCTTCGATTCCACCCCCCAACCCTCGAAAAGACGACCAACGAAGACGCCGAGAATTGCGCAACGAGCCAGCGAGCAAAATGACCCCATCCTCCAGTTCCCTCGCAACGATCATTTATCACCATCGCCGCCTGGCCTTGAACCCTTACATAAGTACTGCCTTCCCCAGACTCCAGAGTATATCACCGGAATAGCCCCTTATCAAGCCCCGCCTGCATGTACCGTCCAGGCTTTCCCTCATTTTTTTCCCCCGTTGATATATATTAATCATCCCCGAGGTGATTCCGCCGAGCCTTTCCGTCACGCACGATCTTTTTCTTCTCTTTGTTCTTTTTTGCCATCTCCCGGGCGGTTTACACGAGCGGTTTACACGGGCGATCACGGGTCGACGAAAAGGCACGCCTCGCGAATCGCAGATCCTGGTCTCTCCCCCCCGCTCGAAAAATCCCCTCCCCCCACATCGAACCCCGATCTTGGGTGTGTGTGTCTCCAAGGCCTTTCTTTCGGGTGAGAATATAATTGTTAATGCACGGGATTAGGGAGTGCATCGTGTCCTTTTTTTTTTCCCCCTCTCCTAATGCGCAGCAGCCACTCCCACCTCGTCTGCATTCCAGCCTCGGCCGGAGATCCAAAAGGATCCTTATCCCTCATCCTTACAAGGACTATTCCCCCCCCCGTGACCCTTTCCCCTCATTTCTGGCATCCCGCGTGGGCGCAGATACGGCGAGTGTGTTGACCCAAGTGTTGAAACGCGCGGATGAGATGACGAAGCAGCTGAATCTATCCTTACAAGGACTTTTCCCCCCCCCCCCCTCTACCCCCGGATATGCCCCGGACTGGGTGTTTGCTTTTCACTATCCCATCGGACAATCAGGAATTTCCATAAGAAAACAATTCCTCGACCCGACTCCGTCGAGGACGCTCAAAGAGCACATCCTCAGAAACGCATATAGGCTCGGCGCGCGAAGATCCATGCAGGTACCTCACGGCACTCGAACCGGTACCTCTCGGCACTCGTTCCGGTTCCAGTCCAAACGAGAGTTTCCCGTCCCCCCGAGCAACATTTTTTTAATACCTGCTTGGTTTTCGCGGGGGGTTGAACGCACCCGGGAGAGATGAATATCCCGTGCTCATGGATGTATGAAGTGGTTAAGATATCACCCCGGGCAATAACGACGGGGCCGACGCTACAGGACCCTGGGCCGACGCTACAGGACCCTGGGCCGATGCCACGGGGCCCTGGACCGATGCCACGGAGCCTCGAGAAAATGCCCGTAATGCGTTCTTGACCGAAAACTCCGGGGGTCCCTACTCCCATGACACTCCCACTTTTCGGCTCAGGGCCTCTCCGGGAAAAAAAAGGGAAGGAGATTCTCGTTTTTCTCTTGGCACACTTCTTCCGGCTCTTTTTTTTTTCATCTGTCTATTTCTACTTTTTCCGAGTGATAAATTATGCGTTGTCAAGGTTCCCTGGCCGTGATTGGGGTCATCTCCTCCCTCGGGGCTCCCGCAATCCTTTATTTCTCTACTCACGTATTTTTTCTTTTCATTCATTCTCGCCTCAACACCAGGCTTTAAAAAAAAAAAACTAAAAAAAAAACTGTCAATCTTCATGAATTTAATCAAGGGTCAGCGCCTCTATAATCTGCAATGCAATTTCCCACAGCTCATCTCGTCATCGCCGCTTCCTCGAATCCATGACTTCATCGCGAGATAAGATGCCCTTCATCCGCCGGATAAAGGACTTCGCCGCCCGCTAAAGGGCCCCTTCCGCCGGGGCATCTCGCTATCGCCCCCCGAGCTCCATCGAACTCGAAACGGCAAGTGAAATTTAATGACCGAGATGGTATCATAAATGTGAGGATGAGGGGCGAGGGAATGAGAGGAGGGAGGCGTGAAGAAAAAAAAAAAAATAGATTCAGCTGCTTCGTCATCTCATCCGCGCGTTTCAACACTTGGGTCAACACACTCGCCGTATCTGCGCCCACGCGGGATGCCAGAAATGAGGGGAAAGTTGCCGTTCGTGAAGGGTGGGATGCCCTCGTGGTCAAGAGCCCGATTGCATGGCCCGATTGCATGGTCCGATTGCAAGGCCAGCTTGGCCTTTTATCTCGCTTGCAGATTCCATGTGAACGAGTTATCGCAAAACTAACGTGAAAGTGCCCTATTTTCTCGGCGGAAGAAGCACGGGAAAAAATTTTCCGTCGAGGCGACAGGGGGCCGTGAAGTGGAGGGAAAACAAATACCCGAGCAAAAAAAGTTTTCTTGGAATTTTACGGTTTCCAAACACTGGGTAATTAAAGGAGCGGCGGAGTTTCACTCGCTTCCCTATCCTTGGAAGCTTAATTGGTATGGAAGGAGCAAAATAAAATAAAATAAAAAAAAACGCTCACCTCGGTCGCAGCGAGATCACGTTGAACCGCTTCCAAAAAACCTGCAAAAACACAAAAAAAAAATTCCCGTTATTTTATAAAGCCACTATGTGACGGACGGATTCGTCTCGAAACACAATCAGTCACAGGTCCTGTCACCCCAAAGCAGTTTATCATCGGCAAATCCTCTACGAATTCGCAAAGGCTGGCCTTAAGGTCATCGAACTTTCGCCACTTCACCTCGCACGAGCTGACGACCAACTTCGCATCGGCTTAAAAAAACATCGACTAATAACATCGGCCAAGAGCGTTGGCTTATCATTCCCCAATATAACGGTGACGGGTCCAGATTCGCATGGTCATGTGGTCACCTTCGAGTTCCGGCCGCTTAAAGTAACACCCTTTTTCGTAACGCTTTTTATTCGTGGCATTTGGAATCCCAGAAGCCGATCTCGATTCGTTAACAGATTGCAGAAAACTTTTGCAGAAACTGCGAAAATTTTCATTCGCGCTGAAGGCGAGGCAATCGTGCAGATTTCCGGGTGATAAATAGCGGCGCCCTCGTGAACCACTGACTTAGTTTCGAAAAAGCAGGTTTTCCCCCCCCAAAAAAAACAGTCACAAAAATGGGTCTAAAGGACAGCGATACGTTACAGCTCGCATTCCTAAAGGACAAACAACAAAACTGCTGGGTCGGCAATTTGTTTGCCGAGAACGGGAAAAGAACGTGGACTCCGAGGAAACAAAGGTGGACCGTAAAAACACGTGCAAGCTGTGTTCACAGCGGTAGTTCGCAGCAAATTCGGCAAAACAAGCAAGGCAACAGTGAGAAAATAAACCCCTTTGTTGTGACGAAAGAGGAACCAACATTCAAATTTAAAAAACCGACGGACGTTCTAGCATCCGGACGTCCCCCCCAAAAAAATATATAAAAAAATTATCCAGCATAATAAAAAAAAAATCGGGAGAACCTCAAACCAGCAAGAACTGGTTAAGATTTTCCAATATTTGTTATTTTCGAAAAAAAAAATTGTCATCTCAAAACGTCAGGACTTTTTAACTTTTTTTTTTCAAGAGTCTGCCGACATTTTTGCCCAGTGGCAACCTGTCGACCTTTCGTTACGTCTCGAGACTCTTGAGCTCGTTAGAAGCGCTTCGTTTCCCCCGACAAACGGCGTCGAGCACAACATAATAACATGTGAAGTGCTTCATTAGTAAGCTTCGTTTTTACAAGCTTCATTACGGAAGATGTTCGACATAATGACGACTTGTACGAATTTGCATGGAAAATTTCATTTTATGCCCCCCGCGTCATTAGGGTTACTTCAGGTACCGGCGCCGGGAAACAAAGAAAGAGCGACATAAAGAGAAGGAAAAAAAAAAACACATTAACCAGGCTGTAATTGACGGCTGCGAACCCTTCTATCATCGGCTTATTGCCGGCTTACATCGGCTTATTGCCGGCTCTGTCTCCGCGGAGACACTCCGGTCTCCTGCCTCCGGTCAGGATGTGATCATCACGGAATGTTATTTTATTTTTTTTTTTACGTCTGAAATGTATTAGAGCCATACGGAACTGCGAATGACGAGGCACGGGAAATTACAAGTCTGCGGCACGCAATTAAAGGTCACCTTGATTTGCACGTACGACGCACACGCGGCTTCGCGCCGTGCGTGCCCCCCCCCCCGTGTCGTAATGGGGTTCTTCCAAAGATTTTAATAGAAATTCTCTAATAGGCATTTACGAGATGGCTGGGGGCGAGGGCGGGCGGATTATCCCTGCTCTATCCCCCTGCATTATCCCCTGCATCTCGAGCTGCATCGAGGAAAGAAAGGAAATTCTTCGACGTATATACTTGTCTGCTTGCGAAATTCCTCCATTCCCGTTAAAAGCTCTAATGAACTGTGAAATGATAATACACGGCCGCAGCCGACGAATAACGCGAAAGCTCATCAGTCTTCTTTTTTTCTTAGCCTTTTTTTTTGTTCTTTATGGTCTCGGGCCGGGGGTCGAGAGACCTTCGGACTGACCTCCATTCCGCATTCCTCGCGGAAAACGTCACCCGGATTTAGGGCATGTCCACACGGGAGGGCGGAGAGCGTTGCACAACCGCGACGCGGAAAATACCCTTTCTCGGTGAGACCAGGAAAAAAAAAGACACGGGGAATACATGACGCAATTGGCATGATTGGATTCTTTCTCGTGACTTCAAATAAAACAGGGACTTTCACCATCCCAGGAATTCGAACGACTCCACTTTTTTCTCCCTTTTCATTGTTTTCTCTCGTGTTCTTCTTTGTTTTCCTTTTGTCAAGGCTTTCGCGACGAGGTCGACTGGAAAACCTTCCAACGAGACCTATTTGTTCTCTTCCTTCCAGAGACAATGGAAATAGAAGAAGATTTCAACCCGAACGACACGAAGGGGCGGGAGTTTTGGCTTCATCGGAGGAAAAACTCCAGCGGAAAAGCAGAAAATCGCGAAAATCGACTTTGATGAAATTTACGCTTCTTAAAATAGAAGCGTAAATTTCATCAAAGTCGAGAAATTCCTTTTTAAGGTTCCAAAGGTTTCCATCGTGGGTTCACTCCTTAGAAAACGGTGATGAGGACCCCGCCGGGAAAAGACAGATGCGAAGAGGAAGCGGGCACAAATCCACGGAAACGACCCCTGCCCGATTCATCTTCTCGGCGCTATTCCAAAGAGACAACCGCCTGCGTCCGGAGTGAGGCATTGCAGGAGGAAACGAGCGAGAGAAAGCAGGAAGGAAGAAAAGGACATAGACTACGCTGCACTACGCATAGAGGCACTCCGGATAAGTGGCGGATAGTGAGTGCAATGACCCAGAATGTAACGGGCATGCATTGCTGCATGGCCCGCGCTATTAGATGGGCCTGGAGAGTATCTCCGGGCCGACACGAGTCTCCTCGCCCTCGACCGTCTCCCGGTTACACATAACCTCCATTTAAAGGGAAACCTTTCGCCTCGGGACTCTCACACGATGCGAAGGACGTTTAAGAAACTCGAGAAATTTTTTTCTTTCGGTCGGGGTCTTCCGATGGGAAGACGGTCCTTTGTTTTCCTTTTTTCGGCCAAGGATGTGGAGAAACCGCGACCTTCGAGACCGACGCGGGAACGCGATCTTTTCTCTCATTCCCTCCCCCTAGGTTTCTCACACATATAGGAAATATGAATAATAAGCGGAAAGGGAAGGAATAATGGTGGCCCGAAGCGACGCCATTGCACAATGGCAACGCCACCTCTAAACGCTGCACCCTCGGATTTCAACCCCCCCCCCCCTTTTTTTTTCCTGGCAGCCTTGAGGCATGCGGATGAAAGTGCCAAACGTGCAGCTCCTCCTTCTTGCATCTGAATACAATGCCCTCTGATTCGGTTCCGAGGCAGGGATCCTCATTATAGGGGTGAACCCTCCCCTGGACTCCTCCCATTCTTTCGGAATCGGCCACGGTCGACCTTGACTCTGTCGGTCGATATCGACTCGACTGTTTTCTCATGCAACAAGTTATGCGGCCGAAGATTCGCAATTTTATTAGGTAATCCATGATTCGCATTACATATTTATTGCGAGTCTCTGACCGGTTTTACTTTAATTTTATTTTCAGAGCAGCAATAGCCAAATCCATAATCGAATCCCAACCCTACAATAAATCTATAATAATTTTTTTTATAATCTACTATTGAAATCTTAATGTTGAATCTCAACGTGTCTCTAAAAATTTTTAGATTCGATTCGAAGGCGAATCCCCGGCTCGAGCGTCACACTCGAATATATAAAATGAATATTGAAATCAAAAGTGAACCCGGGAAGCTTACAAGCACATTTACATGTATGCTAATTTTAAGACAAACGAAGATGAATCGGAAAGGCTCATCGCTCGTCGATGCGCATCTGTCGAAGACAGGAAGTGATAATAACGCTTCACAGCTCCGAGATAAGCAATGAAAGACTTGTTTAGATGCTCCTGATCTGGAATCTTTCCCAACCGAATCGAATCTGAATACGTGAAAAACACAGCCGATTCAAATCTTCCCCCACGAAACCGGAATCCCTCAAAAACATCAAAATTTAAAAGAAAAAAAACTGGAACAAGGCCCGATCAGACGAAGCTATAAAAAAAAAATCCAGGAAGCAAACTACCTACCATGAAATGGAAAAGCCTCGAAAATAAGCAATAAAAAATATAAAAACGACAAAAACGCCCGTGCACGTGGCCCTTTCCAAGATTGATAGCGAGAACGGACGTGAGCGTACTCGTCCCCGTCTAGAACAAACCCCCATAGAGCGAGTGCCAAGCATTGAGCAATGTATTTTTTTTTTTCTTCCGCCCGGTTCCCTTGAGAAACTGCAGTATAATTTGCTCGAAGTTCAACGCCCCACTTTTCCTCTGATGAAACTCCGTTTCGTCATAGACCAGTAGTGGCCCAGGCTTTGCCCGATGGAAAAAAAAATGCCTAACGGTCTCCCGATTCACCGTGCATCCGATGAGAAAATTTCTCGCAATATTCATAGCGAAGAAAAAATTGCTCTGTAGCATCCGCAGGCTTCTCTATAAAAAAAAAAAGAAATAATAATAATAAATAAATAATTTAAAAAAAGCACCATCGACGAAACTGGAATTGTCTTCACAAAATACGATTCCAGTTTCATGCTAATTCCCCCCTGCACCGCAGAAGGCTCATTGCACCCGCATGGAATAATGGTTAATCATGGGTTCACGGACCCCCATCACCTGCATTCGAGGCACGGCTTCTACCCTCATTTCTTAATCATACATGTACTGTTTCGATATATCATGGGTGGAATGGGATCGGGACGGGATTTCCGTCGGGGCAATGAAGAATGTGGAGCAAGGGTGAGTGCTATAAGAGGCCATTAATCAGGGGATCGTCCCCTCCGGGGATCGCTTTCAAGGCCATTTTCATCAAATACGACCTTCCCTTCTTTTGTCTTCGCTTTTATTGATATCTTTTCTCTCTTTGGATTCTCGTTCGGACCGGGGATTCCTGAAATTCCTGGATGCGTCCATAAAGAGCGACTTCGGAGTTTGAGAAATTTATCGGTGACTTTCGGATTGATGTCCGGGGCCGGTGGGTGGCCCGGAATAATAAAAAAAAAGCCGTTCCCATTCCACGCAGCTTATTATGTGCCATAATGAGCCATCAGACGAAAAGGGGAACCGTGACAGATAATGCATAATGGGGACTTCCTCGAAACCTTCTCGAAACAATGATGGATGACGGCCGGTGTCAACGACGTTCCTCAAACTGCAGCGACTCATTTTCCGACTCATCAACACGTCTCCGGCGTAATGAACAGGGCCCGGGTCGTAATGGATTGCTCATGAATCCTAAATCACTCCTGATGTTTCGGCATCGTCATTCTGTGACCTTGTCGAGCCTCGATCGTCCCGAAATCCTTTCCTGGGAACGAAGCTGAGGATGGAAATCCAGCTGATGTCATGTTGCTGATTTCATTAACCTTCGGCGCACCTTCTCCACACTCCATTTCACAGAGATTCCATTATTCGCCCGATTGAAAGGGCAAAAAAAAGGCCTTAAACCAGATTTCCAATACTCCGTGTCCATGAAAGTCTGAGGAAATAGACCATTTTTGCTATGAAGGAGCTACAGACAATCGCGCCATCTGTCTTCAAATTTAGTTTCTCTTTCGTCACGCATTTGCGTCCGACTTTCTTCTCCCTTGATAAAGGCTGAAGAGAAAGAAACGTAAAGCAGCGAGCAAAAAGGGTACGGAGTATGGGGAATCACGTCCCCTCGGAAAGGAAACACGGACAGCCGGAAACAAAATCCCCCGTGGAGACATAAACCATCAGCAGATTGATTTACTCAATATTTTAAACTGTGGGTAAGGCACCTAAGCGTGAAGCACAGAAAACCAGACTGCCGTCCCTGAGAAGCCATTTACTCTCGGACCCTCGCGTGACGAGACCGGTGATCACGCCGCGGTTGTTTCGTGGGGATCGCGATGGGGTTTGGGAAAGGATGTCCTCGCGCATTTAGCATTTCGTTCTCTGTCCTCGAGAACTCAGAAATGGGGGGAAAACGGGGCCGAGCGATTCCCAGGGATTTGCGTCATCTTCGAAGCCTTACGGCAGACGTTGACCGAGTGTGTGCTAGACGTTGAAAACTTGATTACATACATAGACGAAGCTTTTTCGGTCTCTTTCGGCGTCAGCGGAGCAGGACGAGGCGGGGGATCCTTGTCGGATTCGACCCTGCTGCTCCTCCTACTTTTACTTTCAATCTATCGAATGCAGGTAATATGACACATCTGATTTTTTGTAAATCAGCTTTCTTCGTATTCAAACTGTCAGGCTTTGTTTTTCTGTACTTTCGTTTTTATTTTCCAGATAAGGCTGGGTCCCGAAGGAGAAAGGACTTGGATTAGGATTCCCCATGGATTCCCCCATCAGGTGCCAGGTCCCATGCCATTGTCGTTCAATCATCGCGGTTCTGTACTTTGCATTTGACTTTTCAATGCAATTTAAATACAATATCTCTATTTTGGAATAAAAATGCAAGAATAGTGCAAGTCAAAATGCCAAGTCCCGCTCTACACCCCCAGTTTCTGACCCATGCCTTATCCAATACATGTGTGAAGCAGGACGGATCACAGAAACAAATGTCAAAGGGTGCGTCAGATTCCTCATCCGATATGCTGCCAGAGGTCCTGGTCCATCCATCACCATCCTGTTCGGAAGTCTTCTTCCCGAATGCTATGACCCTCGACTTAATGGCGTCCTATCGCCTGACCATAGCAACCTATCGAAGGACGCTGCATGGTGCAATGCAACTTTTTATCACTCTCATGCACCTGCTGGCGGAACCAAACCTTTTCACACAGCCATTACGAATGAATCGCTGTATTAGGGAAATAAGCAATAACTATGCACCAGAGCTATTCCAAGGAAAGAGAGAGAGAGAGAGAGTGATGCATTCGCCTTGCTTGAGTAAGCTCGTGCATAGGCTCAATGCATCACTGTGCTTGTGTTAAGTACAAGTACGTAGCTCATGTTGATGGAAAAGATAGATTCGAGCAATCAATGGATTTAAGCTACCGTTCACTATAATTGGTCATCATCAAGATAGTTTGGCACATCATAGACGTCTTTAAACAGTGCCAATTAGGGAAGGGAAAGAGGGTCACAGCAACCAAGAGAGAGTTCAGTTTTTTCCAGCGTCTGCAACTCCTGGTGGGACCAGAAATACCCACAAGGCCACGAAGACAGAGAATCACTCTGTTGTGGAAGCCTTTATTTACAGTATTGCGCCTTCCGAACGCAACGGAAGTGCATAAACACAGTTATTTTGGATTAAGACCTTCGGATATCATTTCAGTCACGAAGACGATACGAAGTTGTAATTTCACGAGAGAGAAGAAACCATTCTGAAAAGCAGGAAGTGATATCGGCACGTGAAGACCATTTCCCCGAGACGAAGAAAAGGCTCGAGATGGGAGGCAGTCCGACGAAGTAGCATGCAGTGCCTGCGTGGTTGAGCACCAGAGGGGAGATCCGGGGAAACTCCGACTCAGCCATGCAAGCACCGCTGAGCACCACCACCTTTTTCCTTCATCTTCCACCCGCTCAATCCCTGTTATCGACTCACACCACGTAATTCATGCTCATTACGGTGATTGACCCCTTCCAATCCCACGCAACTGGAGTGGATGCCGCAGGACTCCGATGCGACAGGGGATACGGCTCCTGCTCGGTCCAGAGGTACCAATCAGACGGGTCATCTTCCTTGACGTCACTCCCACTTCTAACAAAACCCACTTTACTTTTATATTCGACGATGATGAGGTGTGACAGATCCCATTCATCATACAGACACGCGCCTCGAAGGACTCCGCCAAGGTCGCATTTTTTCATTTTTTTACTCGAGGAAGTCCGGGGGTACTACAGCGACGATGGCGCGATTATGAAGCCATTATAACTGCAACCTTGTTCAAGGCTCTTCTTTATGGGATCGACCGTGGCCTTTTTTTATACCTGACATTGTTCCATGTCTTAATGATGTCAGGCGCGTTCCATTCCCATAAAGGGTTGTTCTTTCTCCTCCGTCTTTCAGCTCCATCCCACGCATGAGTTTCCACGCGAGATGCGAGAGTGCTAAAAAAAAAAAAAATCTAGGGCATCCAGTTCCCGACCTTCCCTTTCGTCTGAGATGAGTCTGACTGGCAGGAAATCTTCTGGGTCCGTGATAGATATCTCGTAAAAAAGGCCTTTGATGCATTTTTCGAAAGTGCCCTTATGCATTGACCGGCGTCTGACCGAGTAAATCACTCGCCTATGAAGGATTATAATGAACCCACTGGCTAAAATTCATGCCCCGTGCAATGCGTCTTCCTTTATAATCGGCGGGGTCCATCTCTTGAAAAGAATCACCTCCTGCCCTACTTAAGGGATTTCCACGTCTTCGAAGATATTTCACGTCGGCCGGAAGTTCAAGCTTCGCCCAAATAGGATTTTCTCCCGCTCCATTCATAAAATATTCACTAAGAACCGATTTTAGCCAGAATCATCTCCCTTCCGATTCGCTGGGAAATGAAGGGGGTATATATATATATGCATACCTATGCCGAGGTCTACGTGGAGCTCACATCTACACCCGTTACATCGTGACCTGAATGGATTTACATCACATTGTGAGGGCTCGCGAGCTTTGTTCCTGGCTCGAGGTCATGCACGTTTTCTCTTTTCTCGCCGCTCTTTCTCACACAGACCTGGAAAAAAGACGTCGTGAAGGCGTCGTCAATAAATGCTCCATCCAATGATGGCCCCAGGGGAAAAATCTTTGGCGTTCTTGGATTGCTCAGCGCCCGAGAAGTCCTTGAAGCCATGTCGACTTTTTTCCCCCCTTCGTTCCTCTTCCGCCTGACGAGGGAAAGCTCAGTTCCCACGGCCCAGATAAAATGAAAAAGTGGGTGCACGCCTTCTGCTGTTTTACGCTCAAGTGGATACAGATCTTCGGGCAATAATTTCTTAAAGCTCCGTTCCCAAGAATTTCAAGAAGTAAGAGATAGCACAGCCATTCTTAGCCATTCTTGGCTTTCTACACAATGCCTTCGGCATCATTGCTACGGGAATGATTTCTAAGGCAAAAGCTTGATAAGGAGAAGTACATAGCGCGTACAGGAATCAACATTCCAAGGAGTACTTGGATAGAATGTGGTTAAGCAATAATCTGTATGTTTATTTTAGAAGTACTTCGATGAATGAAGAGAAAAATAAACAATTATACTGTGATGCCTCATCGGCGATGAGAAAAACGTTCAGGTTGCCTGTTTTTGAAAGAAAGGTGCAGGTCACTGAAGAAGATCCGAGCGTTGAAGTCTCCTTCGCGGACAAGACGTTCCGAATCTGATTGAGGTTTCCTTCTAGTGTTCTTTTCCGGCGGCTCCAACACAACGAGTCCATTAAGTCGCAACCGTCGACTTTAATTGATGCCTTCACGCCCGGTCACAATGGGATTCGACCCCGAGCTCTAATTTGCTTCTGCTCGACACCAAACATCATGTGCTACTGAGCTCCTTCTTCCTCTGCCTACGATCCCAGTTTCCCTTTCTCACACCCCATCAGTATTCTTAAAGCACCTTGCAGTTACTATTCACAGATGCAATTTATAAAATTCATGTCACGCCGACTGAAGAAAAGAAAAAAAAAGATAATACAGAGATAGCAGCAGAAGAATGTTCTTGTGTTACGATGATGGATTTAGATCCTCCCGAGAACTTCTAGGAACTAATTCTCCACCAATAGAACCTCGACACGAGTTTTAAATACCGTATTGAAGTAGGGGGGAAAAAAGCTGCTCACCAAAGACGGAGGAAAAGTCGTTCCACACACATATGATCCTCTACAAGCAGACACACACACGAGCACCGCAATCAACACTCGGAAGAAGTGAAACTTGCATCAACGAAACCAACTGGAAATCTAAAAAGACCCCACGAGAAAAGAAGTTCTAAGAGGAGGCGAGAGGCAGCTCCCGCACTGGCTGAGGTCCGGCAGGGGACTGAGCGGGGGAGCACCCGAGCATGGCCGGGTATCCCCCCTCCGGCTCGGTCCTCTCCTCTCCATTCCTCCTCTCATTACGGCATTCCATTGTGCACTGCAGTCACGCCAAAAGGAAGAGAGAGGAAGAAAAGAAAAGTCTCTTTTCAATAGCTTCCCTGATGAGACATTCAGGTAAACAAACACTACTGGCGTTAGGATCGCGTCGTAAACACGCAAAAAAAGTTAATCTCAAGGACAAGTATGACCATTCTTTGCAATAATTCTGCAGAGTAGAGTTGAAATTGAGTTTTAAGTTCACGAAAGAAAGGGTTTCTTTCTTCCTGTCTATTCTGACGAAAGAGAAAACCATTCGGGTTTAATTCATGCAAGCACTTTCGATGGGAAGTAATTTCTCGGGCTCGGAGAAAGTGCTCCGTTAATTGCGACGGTCTGTTGCATGCTGTTGGCCACGCGATCGATTTAGAGATGGAACGCCCAAGACGAGGGAAGTCAGCGAGTCTCAGACCAAGGTCAAGTGTATCCCGAGCAAAATGACGTTTCCGTGAGGATAATCGGATGAAGGAAAAAAAATAAAAGTCGAGGCTCATCAAGATATTACCCATGGCCCGGATCACGTCCGCGGCATTTCGGCGCAAGGATAATATTCGGCCTCATTCAGGATCTCTCTTCCGTCTCCTCGCACACACGAGGCCAAAAGCGAGAGTTCAAGGCGGTCGCATGTCGATCCGCCGGACCCGCCGGACCCGCTGGGTCGCTGGGTCCACTGCACACTGAAGCAGATCGGATTCCAACTGGTTTTTTACGCGCAGATGTAGTGGGTCGCGTTCCATTTTTTCCATGTTTATTTCTCTGAAAAAAAAGATTTATTTATCAATAGAACACGGAAAACTAGACTAGACATTTTTATTAGAAAAAAAAGACAGCACGATTTATCTCTTCTGCTAAAAAAAAAAAAAAATCCTCTCCAATCCGCCTCAGTGTGTGTGGTCCGATGGAAAATACCAGAGGGAAAAAAAAAGCCGGCTTTTTTTCCCCCTGGTATCGACGTTGGTGTGTGGCCACCCTATGGTTCAGAGCTAAGCCACGGAAGCGATGCAGGTCAGGCTCCGGGGCCTGGGGACTCCTGAGATCCATTTTTCAAAATTATCAATATAATATATATATTTAAAAAAAAAGGGTAACGGAAATACAACCGTTCCTTTTCACTTCTTTTAAGGTGAGCCACAATGAATGCGACATCTATTTTGCATTTTGCAACCGTTCCCTATTTCTGGCTATTTTTAAGAATTTCTTTTATCTTAATATATATATTTTTATTGTAATGTGAAGCCAATACTTCCAGAAGTACCTAGCATCTATAACATAAACACATGTTAATCGCTTCCTTATATATTAAGCCTTTCTCCCTCTTAACGTAGTAGTGCGTAGCAATCTGAGTTTCCCGCTTTCCTGCATAGCGAGGCAAATTTTAAACAATACACAATACATGCTTCTGATATCTATGATCAATGAAAATATTTGCGTAAATTACGCACGTAATTTTTAATGCCTCAAAATGTCATTAAAATAATAATGCATTACATCGATCGTATCAGTGGCGTCACAACAGAGTGTTTCATGAGAACAATAGTCTTAGCTTCTTCCTCCGGTAATTGTATTACACGTGAGAAAAAAAAATGAAAGTGGTATGTATTTCTGGTGTGTTAGAATCAGTGGTTCTCAACCGGTGGGCCGCGCCGCGGCCCACTGATGGGTCGTGGAGTTGCCGCGGGTGGGCCGCAACAAGTACCCGTAAATTTATAAAATAACAATTAACAGATACACGAACAATAATTATATAGCTTTCAAGTCTGTAATGGGCCTTGGATCGCATTGCAGTCGTTAAGGTGGGCCGCGGGATCGAAAAGGTTGAGAACCAATGTGGTAGATGAAGAAATTCATTGTGCATATGGCAGTTCAGGGATATCATGGATTGTCGATACAGATAAATCGCAACGACAGTGATGATAGGCGGCAAATTGAGATTCTAATGCAAGGTAGGTGTCAAAAACTGGTAAAGTTGGGAAAGAGATATACAGTTGAAATTTCGAAGTGGTACATGCAATAGTCCCTGAGTTATTTCGCGTTTTACTGATATAAAGCGATTTTCCCCCGAAAGTGAGAAAATAATAGGGTTGACTCAGTCAGGACGTTGGGGAAAAAATTGTGTGAAAAAAAAGGATTGAAGGTATTATTACAAGAATTTTTTTCCTCATGTGATTTAATCAGGGTGACTGTCATCCACCGTGGAAAAAAACGCCCTTGACCGATTCATATAACCTGGCTCGTAACCACATGGTAATTTTCCTCCATTGAATTTAAAGAAGCCTACGGTTCATGTTAATGCTGGGAAACTAATATATTAAGAAGTAACAGAGTGGTATAAGAAATTTAAATAATAATAAAAATCATCAGGGTGATAAGCGACAGACACAAAAAAAACAGGTGGTCAACAGGTTTTTATCTAAGGTTTCATCATTACGGTGTTTTGTTCTGGTCCGAGTTTTTGAAAGCAAGATTACTCTATTCAGTTCTGGGGCAATTCCATTCGCAGCAACAAAACGTTGCCATTGCATTCCGCGCGGATGACAGCAGCATTGTGTCATTAACGCCGTGTTCTACGCTTTGAGAAGCATCTGTCATGCTAGAAGCTTTATTTTTGCAAGCGTCATTGCATGGTCTGTCTCCTCTGAACTCTCAGAATGCCATTGTAATTTTTTGTTTAATTATTATTATAAACCAGGGTGTGCTAGCTGGTAGTAGGAAAAAATTCTGAAGAGACAGTAATGTTCAGTTCAATTGCTGACGTTGATTTTTCATCGTCGAATTCAACTTTCGGTTTTTGAAAGCACTTTCACTCTAACCACTTTGTCTGACAAGAAGATGCACACGTTTTCGATAGACTGTATCAAGTCGCCCCAGATGACGGAGTGACATTGATGCACTCTGCACAGAACAGAAACTGGGCCATGTTAATAACTCCGCGATTCGAGGCGACCAGCATGTGGTATTGGTATGAAGGAAAATATTGGAAGAAAAAGATCGTATCGAGGCCGGTTTACATACGAAAATACGTCTAGAAGTCGGATATGATTAGCATGTGACCCATCGGGGAGGTGTCACCCTCAACGAGGAGGTGACACCCTCATCGAGGAGGTGCTACCTACCCTAAGTGGGATTCCAGATGTGCTGCACGGCATTTGCTTATCGAGCTCTCTCTTCATCGATTGATCGCCATGAATGGCAGAGGCTTCCCAGAAGACCGGTATATACCGTTGTAAAAACAATAAGGGAAAAGGAGAGGCACTTCGGGGAGGGAATGACCCGTATGTCCATATGGTGGACTGGAACCCAAGTGGAACGGCCGGTGCGGCGGTTTCTCCCGTATTCAGGATATTAGAACGAGACGTCGCTCCTCCGAGGATGGAATGCGATCGGAAGTGTGTCAATGGAACGAGCTACGTCGGCTCTTCCATATACAAATCTTTCGTAGTTTTTCGTAGCAGCCCTTTCACGCCCGACGCCACGAAGCGTGATTCCCGTGACGCAACTTGATATGGATGCAGAACTCACGTGGGCGTGACGCTTCGAGGAGGAGACAGCCCTCTTGCATACGCACGACGACGTTGAAGAAGGCACGAAGGCTTGAGAGGCTCTGTTTGAGGAAGGGCGGCTGGGCCTGGACGGCGAGAAGGGGATTGGTGGGCATCTTCGATTACGCCTTCCTCGAGTGTCTCCGACTAAAGACCTTCTGTATTAATATTACCATATTATTGGTATTACAATAGTAGATACTCGGACTGTGTTTGCTCGCTCACACCTACGATGCGGAAGAGAAGGTTATAAGAACTCTCACGGCCTGAGATGGCGTCACGAGACTCATCTATCAGCCGGAGGAGTGATGGAGATGGCGTGTCGAATACGCTGCCAGCAGCGTGTATTGCTCACTGCCGCAAACTCATCTTCATGCATATTTCAGACGCGCGATTGCGCCACGACGCTTTGCATACGGGTCGTTGACGTCGCTGCACGTGTGGCTCTCTCGAGATTTATGGGTAATCACGGCAGCGATATTCCTCCGCACTCGAGAATGTGAGTTTTCTTCTGGATCCGGGTGTCTTACGTTATGGCCCTTCTCGTCGGGGCAGCCGAGCAGGATAAAGGATGTAACATCAAAGTAAAATTAGATGCTAACTCGGTCGGTCCCAGAAAGGAATCTCATATTACCAAATATAGTTTTATGGACACTTGACATGCAGATTTCATACGTTATGAGCCTCCCTGCAATGCCAAGGAAACCGTTTTCGTTCCATGCAAAATGGAATTTCGGATGCAACCATGCAACCCGCGTACTAATTCCCCATAAAAAGAAACTTGGAAAGAAACGAGGCGACGAAAGTGGAAGTGCTGGAAGGCTTTTGCGAATTGAAATTCAGGAGGTAGTACGGCGAAAACTGCGGGACAGAGTTGGGGTGTCGACGGGGGTGCTCGTGTTTTTTGCTGCTGTCATTCCGCGACCCGAAAGACTGCAATGTTTGCCTAGGGCCTTTGCATCTTATAAGCGCCTTCTCTTCCTGCGATTATTATGTGGGCAGATGTTTGCAAAGCTGATGGAATGCACGTGCAGAACGCGCGAGGACGGCTTCAAACGCGAAACGCGTTCGTCAAGACATCTAAAAACTCGTCGTTAAAGAAATATAAAATATAAAAGTTTTGCGGAAATTTTCCAACTTCATGAGCTCTCGAGCGGAAAAAAAATTATGGGTAAAAGTAAGAATCTTTTAGGAACTGGAGAAGAATCGAAGAATTTCTTCTCCATTCATTCCTACGGGATTTTCCTCATTTTAGTTTTTTTTTTTAATAAAAGCAAGCGCGATGGGCAGCCAATGGGAAAGAGAACATGTGTCCTTGACGAATTCCGGAGGTACCGATAACATTTTCTGGTACT